TATTTAAATAAAAATAATATTGATTTTTCTCAGTTTTAACTTTAAATTTTGAGTTTTATGTTATCCCAAAAAGTGTTTAGAGACTTTTGGTGACCCTCTGTAATAAGTGTTACTATACACGTCAAAACATGCACTGGTTATTCTAAAAAAGGGATTTATGATGAATGTTTAGCATTAAAATATAATAATCTATTAGCAAATCATCTTGCTATCCCAAAACCAGCATCTCAGAATTTCAAATTTACGCTAAAATTTTATTTTAAAACTAATTCATTAAAAAAACATTTGCAAAATTAAGATCTCTATAAAATCAGTCTATTGTTAAAGATGATGATTATACAAATATATGGATTACATTAGCAGATAAAGCTATTTATAACATATTTAATGAAAAACCTGTATTTGAAGGACTTTGTAAAATAATAGTTTAAGCTACCATTCATAAAGGTAATAATAAAAGCAAGTAAAATATCAAATATAATGAGAATTTATAAATTTTTTCATTATATTAGAAAGTTTTAGCACTTAAGCTCTTAATATTTTTCATTAAAATTTGGAAGAGCATACAATTCAAAATATATAGTATGACCTGCTTATTTATTGTCTATAAAAAGTATAATTTATTTTTTAAAAAAATTTTTATCAAAAACAGTAAACTTAGAACTAACGATGAAAATACACTTATGAATTTTATCTTTTTATTTGAGAATGTTGTTAAATTTAAAAGGCTAATTGATACATTAAATTATCAAGTACTAATAGCTGCTATATCTGATAATACTAAATAAAACCTGCTCTTCATTATCATTCTAATTTAGGATGTATAATTGAGCTAACACTATTTATTGAAGAAACTAAAATTAATTCATATAAAAATATCTCAATAATTATTAATGATATCAAAATAAAAAAAGCATCGCGAAAGATATGCATGCCTATATATTACAGGTATTCAGTTATTCATTTAATATAATAATTATATCATTTATATGCAATATTTATTTCAATAATTAATTATTTAATAGGTACTATTACTAAAGTTTCCACTAGTAGTTATTGCATTAATTACCAATACTAGGTTTGATAACCAGTCAATTATAATGAAGTTTTATCAAAAATTATTGACTCAAATAGTATTACAGCTTAATCTTTCAATATTATCAATGGTTCAGATGGCTATATTATTGAATTTAAAGCTCAAATTGCAATCCAAAGATATTCAACAGATGAGATAGCTAGTTTTTCAAAATGACAAATTTGAAATTAATTTTAGTTACCCAGTTTTTCCTAATATAAGACCTATTATTTGCATACAAGATCTTAAATATATAAAAAAAACCAGTCATAATACTATAATATCAGATGCACAGCACCTTACTTTTAGAAATTTAACAGTACAATTTAAGCAACTATTAAAGTTATCACATTTTTCAAATTTGGTAATGTATCATCAAGATGTGATAAAACTTGACCGTTAAGATAATGGTACTGCATATCATGTGTTTTATTCAGAAAATTTACAAAATTGTTATGATATTATTAAAGAGGATATGCAGGGAATTTTTGTATACCTTTTTATTATAGATTGGTAATAATTTATTATCATTATACGTAATTATTTTTTTTTGCATTATTCAATTTATTAATATATTTTTGAAATTAGGAGAACTCATCAATAGTTACTTAAATCGAGAAATAATTTCATTGAAAAAAATTAAAATGTTAATGACAGCTTTTTTCTTTTTACAAATTTGGAAAAAGTATATAGTAAATATAAGTGAAAAATATCACAATTTATTTCTTTAAACAAGAATTTTTTAGCAAATCAAAGTTTTGCAATTTTTATTTCTCTTGTAGAATCTATGATATTATTAGTAATATCATATTGAGAATATTATTCAAATTATTCATTCTTGTCATAGATGTACAGATCAGAGGTTTGTAAATACTTTTTTGGTATAGCACACCAAATTAATTCAGACTTTAATTATTTTGAACTATTACAATTAATTCTGAAATTTTTTTAATATGCTAAAATACTAAGAGCAAAAAATATTATATTAGAAAAGAATAAATTAATACGTAAAGGTAAATTTTTTAATTATATTTAAAATCAATTAAATTATTATTTTTTAAATGTTCTTTTCATTTAAATTATTATTTGATTATAATGTGGGAGATATTAACTCAAGGAATTGAACAACATTATGTATTTGGTTATCAGATGCTGAAATTATTTTGACCATAGAGTATTCATATGAATTAGCATTTGAACTTGCTAATACACTTAATATGGATACTACTCAATATGTAAATCCTTTAACATTATAGCTAAATGTTTTAATAGAGAAACAAAATTCAGAGATATCAGTTAGAATTGAGTCAAATTCTGAAATTGATGAATTTTCTGAAATTGATAGAGAAATTTCTGATGTAATTGATCAAGCTTCTAAATATGCTGACAGTAATAATATTTTGATTTCTCAAATAGTGAAGATAATACTGATGATCATATTCATTAAAGATAGATTATTTTAATTTTAAATGTTATAAAAATATATAATAACGAGAAACAAACTCATAGTATACATAATTTATTAGTTTTATTACTATATTTAACAATATTAAAAAATGCTAAATTAATACTATTTTAAAAAGAACTTATTGTTAAATATCTTCTTTCAATAAAAGAATTGGATTATTCAATTATGATTGCATTACAAAAATATCATAAAATATATAATTTAAGACCAAATGAAAGGAAATATCATATATATTATAAAAAGTAAACAGATACTAGAATTATCAATTTAAATAAGGCTAGTCAAATTGTTTCACATTTCATAAATAATAATAATCTAACAGTATATTATATAAAGTTATGTGAAAAACAATGAAAAGAAAATTAGAAAAAAATAACTACAAGTCTTGTAAATTTACAAAATTCTGAATTATCAAAGCAAAGATAAACTATTTATAATTATAAACATAAAACTAATAATATGAGTAAGTTAATATAGTAGTATATTTTATTATTTTATATAAATTTTTACTAATAATTTGTTATTTAAAATGCAGTTATGCATATTGAAAATACAAATGTTACTCAAAATTTTCCTTTACAGCAAAATGATTTTATTATTGTATTATATGAAAAAAAAATCTGTATTGCTAAAATAATAGCAATATATTATGAAAGCTATAGTAATTATTGTTATACCCAAATGCAATTAATTAAATTGAAATTTATCTTATGTTTCTTTACAAGTGTATTTATCGATTCATCTCAATATTTTTGCAAACCAAACTTTGTAAGGCTTATGTATTATTTACTCATTATTGTCCTCAAAATATTTTATATCATCTTAATATAAATAAACTAATAATTAGTAAAAGTTTATTAACTTTAATAAAAATGGTACAAAATACTTTTAATTATTTAATTGTGATGATATTAAAAATACAATTATTAATATAATATAATATATTAATAATAAAGAGTTTAATATAATTAGTCTAATGCAAAAAAGTTTTTATCAATTTAATGCTTATTAAATAGATATATTTATTAATATATTATAAAATAAATTGCATAATGAAATGGAATTTTAAAAGTCATGAAAATTTGCTTAGTCAAATTAAAAAAAATTTGCTTATTAATCATAGTAAAAAATCTTGATTTTAGTGTGATCTCTATATGTATTATTCAGAGTTCTATATAATGTATAATATAATATATCTTTTATTTAACACTTTTTACTAATGGATTTTCTAAAAGAAAAAACTCAAAAATGTATTAAAAAAAAAATTCTATTATTTAGATCTAATAAAATGATTTACTCTTTTCCTTCTTTTTTTGAGTAACAAAATATAATTCTTTTCTAATTTTCTTATCAAAATCCTTTGCTAAGATTATTATAAAATTAAGATTTACTTTCAACAATACCTTTAGAAATGTTTTTAATTAAATTTTAGAGAGATATTTTAGAATAAGAATTTTTAATCAAGAAAGAGATATTTCTAATTAAAAAAAAAAAATTTCTAATAAAAAAAAGATCACTAAAGAAATATTAGAAATAAGTATTTATTAAGTTAATTTATTAAATTACAAAGTGTTTTTTTTATATTAATTAATTTTTAATTAATTTTAATTAATTTAAAAGTTACAGATATTTTTAATAAAAGAAAATCTACTAAATATCAATTAGATTCAAATGAATCTAATAATTTTAGTAATAATTAGCAAGATTATAAAGTTGACTTTTTAATTTAATATATTGCAGATAATTTTGATGGGTATAATAAAGGTAATAGATTAAAGTTATTTAATAAAATTTTAGCAAAGGTATTGAAAAATAAGAAATCTAATACTATTAAAAACAATTTGAAAAGAATGATTAAAACTTATAGTGAAGTTAAAAATACAATGAAAAGTTTAATGTAGAGAAAAAAAATTAAGAATAGTATAAAAAAATAAATAATATATTTAGTATTCATAAAAATATAGCTTCTTTTTTTATAGCAAATAAAAATACTGTTGAAAATAAAAAATTGGTAATTAATGAATCTAAACTTTCTAAAAGACAAAAGAAAAATAATATAGATTTTATTGCGATTACTATTGTTATTGTAAGTAAAGTTAAAAAAAAATATAAGAAAAAAGAATTAAATTAAAAAGAGAAAAAATAAAAAAGAATTATATTATTAAAATAAGTAAATTAGAGATAGAAAAGCAAAAATAGGAATTTAAAGAGAGAAATAAAAATAAAATTTGATTTAAAGTTGAAAAAATTAGAATTTAGAAAAAATTCAAATTAAATTTGTTTTTTTTTGTAATTAGACTATACCAATTAATAATTATGTATAATAAAGATTTTTAATAAATATAAAGATAGGAGAATGGAAAATCAAAAAAATAAAATTTTTTAATTATAATATTAAATGTGAAAAATAATATAAAAAGATTATTATTTATTAATATTTAGTTTCTATTATTATAAAATTTATTAAAATAAAAAGGCAATTATTTACTTTATTATGAAAGATAATAAAATAATACAAGTATTATTATCTTATTTGAAATTAAAATAAAAATTCTTGTAAAGATTTAATAAGATTATCTTTCTTATTACAATTACAATAGAAATAAATTTGTAAATGTTCAATTCTATATAAATAATATACTTGCTCAATTAATAAATAACAAATTAGATTTATCCTAACAAAAACCTTACTATATAAAAGATGATTATCTAAAACTATAGGTGAACCACATGTATATGCAAATATTTTCATAGTCATTTGCAATGCTTTTTTATCTGAATTATCTAGATTAAAAATATAATGTAATTTTAAATAAATTGTATAAAGAGTAAAGTTACAAATTTTTGCAGTAACTAAAATCCTATTTGAGACAAGTTCTTAATATTTGTAATTATATTTTTTTTGTTTAAAAGATCTTTTTAGTAATATTATATTCATATAGTGAATTAAAGTTTTAATAATGATCAGAATTTAAATGATTTATAAATAAAATATTTTGATTTAATAAAATCAAGTAATAAAAAAATAAACTTACCACTTGAAATTTATAGCATAATATTTATTTAAAGATAAAAGGTAATTCATTTTGACCAAAGTGTTTAAATTAACCTATAAAGTAAAAAAAATACTGCTGTGTTAATAAAGTTACAAAAACACATATTATTACACAAATATTAATTTAATTTTGATAAAATTTTATATGCAAATAGTATTAAATTTGCTAAATAATTTTTACTTAGAGATAAAAGATGATTGACTTTGACCAAAGTACTCAAATTTTCTTATGAAGTCAAAAAAGTGTGACTTATTTAGTAAAGTTACAAAAAAAATTATTTCTACTTGAATATTAATTCAATCTTAATAAAAAATTAGATGTAAATAATATCAAACTTGCTAACTAACTTTTATTTAGAGATGAAAGGTAATTGACTTTAACTAAAATTATCAAATTAATTTATAAAATTAAAAAATAATGCTGTAATATAAATATGGGTATTAAAACTGAAACCTCTTGAGATATTTTAGGTTTTAATATATAACAAAATCTAATTTTAGAAATGTATTTATTTTTCTGAAACCTGAAATCTAATTTTGAAACATATAAACTAAAATATGCTAAAACTTATTTTATTATTTTATAAATTTATTATATTATTACTAATATAATTTCATTACATTATCAATTATATTAATCAAATACAAATTAGTTAATTAATTATTAATAAAATCTTAAACTAATAAATATGAATTAAAATCTTCTTTCTTATTCAATTCTTGAATAAATTTATCAAATTTGTCAATTTCTAATTGTTTATTTCCTACTGGTTTATTTTCAAACATTAATTCCAAATCAAATATTTTTGAAATCTCTAATTCTTGAAATAAAATTTACTCATTATCATCAAGTAAACGTGTTATGATTATTTTTTTTATTTACTTTTCATTATATTCCTCTATTTCATATTCTTCAATATGATGACGAGCATCATTTAAAGTAGCACAAATTTCATCAGTTGTTTGATCTTTACTATAATTATTTAATTTAGATTTACTATTAGTAATATAATACAAATGGATTTTAACGTAGCCTCTAAATTTTTTACTGATAATTATGTTCTCCTTGTTCTAGTCATCTATTTACAAATTGACCAAATTCATTCACAGTTAGCTGTATGAAGAACAATAAAAAATAATTTTTTTGCAAGCAATTATATGTAAAGTAAAGTTGATTTACACATTTTCCATCAGCTAAGAAAAATATTTACTTGAAAATCATATAGTAATTTATATAATTTCGCTTAGAAATGAAATTCACTAATTTGTGCTAAAAGAATTTCTGCAAATTATTTTTTTGAATAGTTATATTCTTTAAAATAAATAACAATATCAGAAATTTTTAACTTTTATTGTCAAATATGTGCATCTGCATTTTGAATTCTTCAATAATGTATTTCTTTTATACTAATACCTATTTATTAATAAAGTTAAATAATTTAAAAAATTTCTATTATTGTATTAAATAAATTTAAATATCAAATTTTATATCTTTATATTCAAGATAAATATAATATGCTAAGAGATATTCATCAAAGTCATACAATGTAAAATGTTCATTAAAAATCTTTATTATATGTTGACAAAATATCATGTGATTATTTTTAGATATTTTATTAATTAATTAACCAAGATATGTTAAGGAGAAATAATAATCAGCCAGGATTATTTTATTACTTTCAAGAGTAAAATTAGCTTCTTTAATAGGTTTCATAATATTGGTCAAATCCAAATATCATTAAAAAATTCTCTTTTTTGATTAATAATTATTTTAACAGCTTCACTTGTAATAATGTTAGAATTTTCATTAATAACTTCTTTAAGATAAATTTTTAGTTGAGAAATTGATTCTAATATTTTATATACTGTTGTTTATCATATATTCAAATAATTTTTAATCCTTCGCCTATTATATTTTTTTCTGAAATTTTTAAATCTAATAATTCTTTTGGTCTATGTGATTTTTTAAAATAAGTTATAATTACTGTATACTATTAAATTATTCATATATTTTATTAAATATTTAGTGATTAAGTTTAATGAATAGGCTATATATCAGATATTAATAATATATGGAAATTTTCAGATATTAAATTTCATGCAGAATGTATATTTGGTCTAGCATCTGTTACAATTCCTACAAATTTTTAAATACTAATATCATTAAGAACTAATTATATTTGTTATACGAGAAATTTAGCTATATGACTTTTGATAGAAAAATCCTTAATTTTTCAAAGAAGATCCCTTTCATTATTAAGATGAATGATAAAATTCCAAAGAAATTTGCCTGATAAACTTGTCTATCTATCTAAAGCTTTATTATAAGAAAATAAAATAAATTTTATTAATATAAATTTCTATATTTACAAATAAAAAAATTATTAAAATTTACCTAATGTTAAATTATCTTTATTATCAAATATCTTATAGTATTTTATATTAACTCGCAAAATTTTTTATATTAATAATGTATTAATAATTGTTTTTAATCTGGTGAATTATAATTTGGCCAAAGTTTCTTAAGTAATTCAATGATAAATAGATGTTCAATTAGTTTCTATGATAAGCTATAACATACAAAAGCTTTAATAAAAGCTATATTAATAATATCTTTTCGTTTTCTACTTAATTCTAAATTTTCATAAAATTTGACTAAAGTTATTTGATCATTCTCAACTTGATTTTTTTTATGTATAGGATTAGTAACATTAAGAGAAGATATTTCACGTGTTTCTACTATATAGTCAACTCTTAATATAGCGAACTCTTGATATAACAAATTTTTTGAACAAATATAATAAAAATACTCTTGTTATAGCAAATTGACCAATCAAATTTCTTAAAATCTTCACTATAGCTTTATAGTGAAGTTGAGGTCTAGGATATAGAGTTCATTATAATAAGAGTTAATTGTATATATTATAGCTTCATGAATTAAATGATCCACCTTTGAATAATTAATTATATGTTTTTTCATTATTCTAGTCTTTGGTAGAAGTTTAGGGTTATTGAATAAATTTCAGAAAATTAGAATATATTTCAGATATCAGAAATGGTTTTAAGATTCAGTAGAAGTTTTGGTTATAGATTAAGTTTCAATTTATATATACCAAAATTTGAAACTTTTAGAAATGCTTCTGAAGGTTTCAATATCCATATTTATTGTAATATTAATAAAATTATAAAAAAATATATTACTATACAAATATTAATCCAATCTTAATAAAATTTTATATTTAAATAATATTAAACCTGCTGAATAACTTTTACTTAGAAATAAAAGATGATTAATTTTGACCAAAGTACTTAATTTTTATCATGAAATCTCTATATTAATGTTTATAAAAAAAGATATTAAATTTATATAAAATTAAAATCTATAAAAATAAATTTAATAAGAGTTCTTGTAAGTTCAAGTATTTAAGTTTAAAATAAGATTTTTTTTTTAAAAATTATGTTAAATAAAATAAAGTGTTAAAAAAATATATATAACAATTTAAAAAAAATTGAAAAATTAATTTTCAATAATATTAATTGTACAATTATAATTAATCATTAAATTAAAAATTTCTATATCATTTTATATATAATCTAAATTTGCTAATTAATTATCACACTGTAATTAATTACTATTCTGTAATTAATTATATTTACAATGAATAATTATCACCTTATAATAAATTACTACCTTGTAATTATTTATCATCTTATAATTAATTACCACCTTGTAGTTATTTACCATCTTGTAAATTAACATATTTTTTAATAAAATATGTAATTAATTACCATAATTATAAATTATGTTTTTATATAATTATATATAATATTTAATTATAATCATATATAATTTATTTTTTTATAAAATAATAAAAATAAAAATAATTTTAATATTATCAGATTTTTATAATTATTTATTAAATTTTTTATTTAATTTAATTAATAATTATATTAAAATTATTAAAACTATATTATTAATATTTTTATTTATGAGAATAAATTTTCAATAAACTTATTTATATAAAATTTAATTAAATATTACTTTATTGAGTTATTTTAGAATTATTGTTATAATTTAAATATTTAAATAAATTTTTTATATAAATTTTTTTAATATATACTAATTTTATTATTTTTTTTTATTATTTTTTATTAAATAATTTAATAACTATTCTTTAAAATGTAAAGCAAGCAAATTTGCCTGTGAACACAAAAAATAAATATTAATTTTTTAATAAAAAATAAAATATTAATATTAATAATATAATCATTATATAAAAAATATAGTTTAATATATATTTTATTAACTTTATTAAAAGAAATTTAAGTTTATTAAAAAGTTTTTTAAATAATTTAATTTTTAAAATTAAGTTTTGAAAATTTTATTATAATAATTTTTAAAATTTATATGTTTGTGAATTAATTGAATTGCTTTACTATTAATAAAATTATAAAATTTCTTAGTAAATTATAAAAACTGTAATAATTAAAGTTATTTTTTATAATAAATTTTATAATATTCTATTATAATTAATATTACTAAAAGTAAATATTAATAAGATGGTCAAAGATCAATGACAAATTTTTTAATTTATAATTTTTTAAAAATTATAAATTTTTAGCTTATAAGTAACCTTAAATTATTATTACATATATTTATAAAATTAATTTAAAAAAAAAATTTTTTAAAAATTTTAATTTTTTATAAAAGTAAATCAGAAGAGAATTTATAGTAAATAAGTAAGCAAATTTACTTGCGAATTTTTACAGTTTAAGGGATAATAATAATATTAATTTTTTTGCTGAAATTTTATTTTTATTTACTATTGAAAAATTTTCTTTTAAAAATATATATATTAAATTTTTATAATAGATTAATTCTTTTTAATATGATATTAAATAAATTTATACCTTTTATAAGTAAAAAAATTTTTTATTAAATGTAATTTAATAGATTTTCTTATTATTTAATTAAGATAATTTAAAATAATAAATATTACAATAATAAAAATTTTCTTTTTAATTTCTATTTATTTTAATAATAAAAATTGTTATTATAAATTATTTAAAAATATTAAGATTATAAAAAATAATTAGATTTATAATATTTTAAAAATATATATTTTATATTAAATTATTATTAGAGTTTTGAATAAAATCAGATTAATCTATTATTTAACCTAAAAAAATTTAAGTTGAATTGATAAATTTCAGATTAATATCAGATCAGATTAATCTATTATCTGATTTAATCTAATTTAACTTAACTAATTATTCAAGAAGAATAATAATAAATTGTTCAATTAGAATAATAATATATTATTTAATTTAAATAATAATAAATCATTTAAAAAAATAATTTAAATTAAATCAGATCAATTAGATCAATTCAAATAAAAATTTAAATTAAAGAAATACTAATAGTTAGTATAATTAATTTGTATTTTTAATAAATTATATAATAATTACAATATATTTTTAGTAAAATATAAGTATACATATTGTGAATGGGTAAATGTAACACAGCTTATATAATGCAGAAGATCAACTAAATTGACATAAGTGATATATATGATATGTCAGATATATGTGAAATAACTGACATATTAGACATAGTTAATATATTAGATACAGTTGATATATTAGACATAGTTGACATAGTAGACATGTTAGTTATATCTATATATGTAAATTATTTTATATAAATAGATAGCTTTTTAGTTTATATAAAGGAGGAGACAAATAGGAACTTAATAAGATAGTTTTAGTAGTTTTAGAGACTGGTCTACTGCGTTATCTTTTAGTTTAGTATTTTATTTTTTTTCTTTTCTTATTTTTTTTTTATTTTTTTTTTTTACTTTTCTTTATTTCTTTTCTCTATATTATTATTTTACTTATGAATAAACACATTATTTATAAATACAATTTACTAGCCATCTATTGAACTGTAATTATACTTTGATAAATCATCTGAATTAAAACTTATAAACTATTAAAAGATTACTGTGCAATTAAAAAGAATAACTGTTTAAATATCCTGTCTAACAGTCGTAATTCACAAAAATTACACGTTAACAATATATTTAATAAATAATTTATAAATATTAATATTTGAAATTTTAAATAGGTTAATTAAATTAATCAATTATTTAACCTGAAAAGGTTAGATTAGATTAAACAAAAATTTAACTTATAAAAGATATAAAATGTAATAATGTTTTTATTATCAATTTATTTTTATATAATCAATATATTTTTTTTTATAAGCATATTTATATTAGATTTAAGTTATTAATAAAAAGTTTATAATATAATTTTTTGTTAGAATATTAAATTTTTTAATCCTAAAAATATTTTTAAGACTTTATTTATAGAATATAATATTATAAAGAATTGAAATTAATTTTAATACAAAATAATAATAAAAAAAATATGTTTTTATTATTAAATAGGTTATTTATTAGAGTTTAACAATATAAATTATTTTAAATATATATAATAAATAATAGATAAATTTAATATTGAAATAAATTTTAATATTATTAAAAGAAAATTTAGTTAAATAAAATATAATAATAAAAATAGTATTCTTTTATATAATCTAATCTTTAATTTATTAAATTTTATTATTGATAATGAAAATTTAAAAAACACATTAAATTTATACAGGTAATTATAATTTGTTTAATAATAATTGTTATAAAAATTGGTTTTTTAATTAATAATTGTATAATTAATGGTGAAAAAACAATTAAATAATTATTAAATCAAAATGTAATGCTAAAAATGATATTTTGATATAAATTCACAAATTTGAAATTGAATCCTAATGATAATTTAAACATTATAGATATTAAAGTAGAAAGTAACTATCATTTCTTATTTTGTTAGAATTTATTTTATCCTTTATCAGTAATTATAAAGTTTGTCAATTAAAAGAATGATGATGATAATAATGAATGGGATTAGGAAAACAAGAATAAATGCAAATGACTTCAGAAGAAATATAAAGAGGCATTATAAAGAAATAAATATTTTGCTGGCATAACTTTTACAAAAGTTTCAAGGAAAGTATTTTGTAAGACAAGAAATCATGGGTAGAGATAAAAAGGTCAATTACAAGAAAGTTAAATAGTCATTATTTCTCACCCTACTTGTTTTTTTTTTAATATACTATAGAAAGATATATCACAAATGTAAAACCTGGATTCTGTATTCGAAAGATAAGAGCCTATCATAAATTTGAACGGGGTAAAGAAAAATCAAAATAACTTTCGAGGGATCATTTTGCGAGATCATTCTCAGTTCGTTTTTATTTATTTTATTTACGATGATCTAGGCTCGCGAAACATTATAATAATCAAAAAGATACAAGTTAATAAATTTATTGAATACAAATAGAATATCCTCTATTGGTAAATAATAAAGTATTCCGGCGGCCCTACTGGAGACTGCAGCCGAAGCTGGTACCCACAGGCTTGGAAAAGCGCCTATGCCCCTTCCCTCGCATAGTACCATGCCGCCCCAAATATCCCAACCAGCTCTACCGGAGACTGCCAGATAGACTGGGTACCCACGGGCTTACCTAAAGATAAGCATGCCACGCCCCCACTCCGCGTAACATCATGCTGCTCCATAATACCCAAAAAATAAAACAAATAAGAGAAAGAAATAGCTTATTACCTAATTATTCTTTCACAAAAAGGTTCTTTATTATTCCATAAGTTTCATACTCGCCTAATTTCTCTTCGAAAGAAAAACTACCGTTCGAATAACGGACAACATAATGAAAGTAAGTTAGTAAAAAAAAGTTAGTCTCATAAAAAGTTTGATTTAAATAGAACATGATTCGTAAACACAATGTGATTTGTCAATAATATTCACATTTCACGTGTTAAAAAAAGGTTATTTCTACTCAGATAAAAATCATACAAATCCGTTTAAGAATCTTCTCACGCACACTTAAAAATTGCTTTCTCAAATTATTAAGTAGCTGAACTTTTTAAAAAAAATGGCATCAATTCGCATGGAAGTTCAGTATAGTACTATTGAAATATTTCAAAGTGTACTGGAATATACACATAAAGGTACAAACAAACAAATTCGATTAGATGATAACTCGCTTTCGTCGGAAGTCTCCAAATCAAAATTCTATCAAGATGGTACTTCGATCTCTCGCCATTATCTCGCTGAAAAACAACCGCACCCAATCATTCAAGTAGTAGATGGCGATTGTATAAACCATGCACTCAAATTAAAAAGTGAAGGATACAACCCTATTGTATTAAATATGGCAAATGCTGTAATTCCCGGTGGTGCTTATCTCGATGGTGCAGGCGGCCAGGAAGAAAATTTGTTCCGTCGAACAAATTTATTTCAATATCTTGAACAAAAAAAAAATGAATGCTATCCTATTCCCTCATATGGTGGTATTTATTGTCCTAATTCTACTGTTATTAGAGCCAGTGAACAAGAAAATTATGAATTCTTGGAAAACCCCGAAAAATTGTCATTCGTGGTAAAAATATCTTCCTTGAGAAGAAAAGCTTGTTAACATTTGAAAACGGAAAAATTGATATATTTTCCTGTTTAATTTACGTAGACTGTTGCCGCCATATGTCAACCTCAGCTTGTGTTAGGTGAGAATGGTGAATACACCTTAAATGAACATGACAAAGAAACGACCCGAAGAAAAATTCGCACAATGTTAAACATCGGATTAGATAATGGTAAACTTTTTTTTTGAATGGAATTATTGATAGTAACTGTGGAGTTATCAGCGATTACCCGTGAAGTTTCGTTATAATTATCCGGTTCAGATAATTAAACTTTTGCTATTGCAAATTACTTCACGGTCAAAGTATAATTATCATATGTGGCCGTGTAATTAAAGTCTAAATTTGATTTTTTTTATTAACTAACTTTTATATAGGTCATGATACGATTGTTTTAAGTGCATTTGGATGTGGGGCATTCTCAAATCCACCTTCAACAATGGCGCGATTATTTTATGAAATTATTAGTAAAGAATACTTTGGTGAAAAAGAAAATTTACCTAAAACTTATAAAAATATTTCTTTTGCTATCTTCGATGATGAAGGTGCTAGACAATGGAAGAATAACGAAGGTAATTTTATACCATTTAAAAAGGTATTTGCTAATGGAATTTCATCTTAAAAACAAGCAAGCAAGAGAAAAATTTAAAAGAGGAAATAAATTGATTATATTGGTTTTTTTCCGGAAATCAAAAATCCGTCACATATCAAACGTTGTGTTTTTCGGAATAATAATAAAAACGAGCATCGGATTAAATATAAGATCATTTGTTGTCGAATTTTTTAAAGTGAAAATTAGAAATTACGTTTCTTTCTTTTGTAAGCCAAGTATATGCTATATATTAAAATATATCAATATCTTGATATTATTCCAACCATAATGATAGCGATAGTAATACTAAATATTTAAAAAAATTTTTTATAGCAGATATAAATCGTCAATGTTACACTGTAGATCTTATATATATGCACTATTAAAATCTATTACGTCATATACTGTATAGGCCGTAGTCACATTACTTATTAACAAAAAATAAAATTATTTTTCATAAATCTTTAACTTCTTACGTGTCAGATTCAAATATCAGTTCCCATAGATCTCGTTAACTGCAAAAATAAATGAGAACAAAAAGCTTCAGGGTATATGTATTACATGTAAGACTGTAGTTGATATAAAGTATTGTTCAATTACAGAATTAGAACTAACAAAGGTTATGCTAGTAATTCCAACATCTCTAACTTGAAACTATGTGACATTCTTGGTCACAATTGCTATATGAAAATAGTGGAATGGGATTGAAATGAAAAGTATGAAAATCAGAAGTCAAAACAATCTAATGAAGATGATTTTAATTATCATCTTACTTATAAAAAACGTGTTATAATGTCTTTGAAAGATTATGAAATCTTTTAAAATATTTATTTGTTTTATTTATTTGTTAATTATTTTAATATTATAAGAAAATCCATCCTTTGCTAAGTTATTTAATGATAAGATTAGGCATCTTATATTTTTATTATATATATTACAACATCAAGAAAAACAAAAGCTATTTACAAATTCAAAAGAGTTTATTAAAATTATTGAGGTACAAAATCTAGAATTACAAGGATTTTTTGATATTTTATATAAATTGACAATCTTATAGCAAAAATAAATTTATACAACAGCATTTATGAATAAAAGTCATATTTATATATTACTAAATAGCTGCTTTACGTAATAAGTAAGTTAATAGAATAAAAGCTTTTATAAGAATTTTTATATTAGGATACAATACATTTGCAAATTGGATTAATTCATTCACTAGAATAGTTTGAGTTTTACATATTAAAACAGTATTTAACCAAACAAAAAAAACATTAAATAACTATAATTCTTTTATTTATTTAAAAAGTTTTATATGTATTATATAAATTAATGATATTTATTTAACGAAAATATTTAGAAGTTTAATTTTTTTAAAAAATAATTTTATATTATCTAATCAAATTTATTATTTTAATTTTCTTTAAAATATAAGTTTTTATTTAAATAAATTATTGATTTTTTTAATTTAAGTAATCATTTTTATAAATTATATTAGAATTCCAATAAATTTGTATTTTATTTATATTTTTAAATATAATTGTTATATTTATTTCAATTGATTTTTTATTATCAAAATTTTCATTTTTTTCATTACTTTTTTTTTATTAAATTCTCTTTATACTTCTTTAAGTCTTTTTGATTGTTTAGATAATAAAAAAAATATAAACAATTTTCTATATTATTTTGATTTATTCACTAATTTTATTTAAGGTATTATTTACTATTAATTATAATATATGTATAATATATAGTAATCTTTGAATATTGTGATTATTTTTATTTAAAATATTAATAGCTGCTTTTATATTTTCTTTATTATTAGTAATTATACAAATTATATTTTTTTAATATTATAATTTTCAATATATTTTTTTAAGTAAGTGGTAATAAAATTAGCTATATGTGAATATAAAATTTTTTCAAAACTAATTAAAATATCATAAAATTTAAAATTTTTATTTAATTAATGTTCTATAATTCCTATATATTCTGTTTAATTTTTAGTTATCTATAAATCAGTTGTAATAGAAATAAATTTACAAGAATTAATAATTAAAAATAATAAATTTTTAATACTAATTTTATATATTTTTGTAATTAAATTTTACATAGTTTTTTATTACAAGAAATAATAAATGTTAGATCAAGTTTAAAAATAAATTTATTACTTTTTAAATATTAAATAATTGAGAATTAGTAATAATACATTTAAATACAATTAACTTTAAATATAATAAACCTATTTATATCAAAAATTTATTATTTTGAATTATATATTATAGAACTGATTATTTTATAATTAATTAGACTAGATATAATAAATTTATATAATAAAATATTATATACTGCATCTGAATTAATCTTGACCAAACATATATATTGTCATATATTTGATAAACTAAATGATCATATAATTTAAAATTTAGCATATAAAATTGTATAATTAAAAAATATTTATATTATAAATTATGTAGTAGGATACCATTATATAATATAATTATATTATATGGTGGTATTCTACTTACCCTAGATTATATTACCACCATATAATCTGAATACTACTATATGATCTAAATACTACTATATAATCTGAATACTATTATATGATCTAAATATCACTATATAATATAAGTATCACCATATGATCTAAATAATATAATTTAATTATCACCATATAATCTAAATAATATAATCTAATTATCACCATATAATTTATTTATTTTCACGTATCAAGTATCTTTTTTATACTCTAGCTATCCTTTTAAATCTTACTTGCTATTTATATTTTTTTACCACTATATAATCTAATTACCACCCACCATTTAACCTAACTACCACTATATAATCTAAATATCACGCTTTTTTTCTTATTTCTAAATCATTTATATATTAAATTCTTTAATAGAATTGTTGATTCTCTATAGTTGTTTAAATATCTGATTTTATGTTGAGAATGCTGACCTCCTGTACCTGGTTGAGTGCTGGATTCTATATTGGAGTACTTACCCTTTGCATCTATTTGGTTGCCTTTCTAGATATCAAAATGTGATAAAAAAAATATAATGTTGGATAGCGCAATAAATTTGTGATTAATTTCAGCTGACACTATACCATAATTTTGGCTGATCTTTAGAACATGTGATTTAAAGGATCCAAGCTGATACCATAGTAGCAATTTAGTAATATCCTGAAGCTGTTATAGAACTAGTGAGAAACTGTTAGAATGCCAGAGAGGTTCTTATTAGTTCACCAGCTTAGATGCAGAATTATTATATCTAAAGTTCTGGCTGAAATCATAGAATAATGTTGGCTAAAATTTTCGTTAATTTTACTGTGTCTTTAATTCTAGATACTTTTCCGTCACCTTCTTGTAACTTTTATTTTATATATTTATTATCTTCATTTTGTGATCGATTA